CAGGAACCTGTCGAACAGGATGACACATCAGTGTGCCACAACATCCGTTGAAATGGCAACACAAAAAAATACCTGCAGGGCTCTCTTTGATATTATGAGCTTGTTTTGGACRAGCGTAACAGCCTTACGTACATATCGGCATAACAACATGCCAAACAGTCTACTTGGAATTGTTATTTATATCCTTGTTGTGTCTCGTTTTCTGTATTACCATAAAGGCTTCGGGGACTCATCTGTGTCTGAAGTGGAAACGCTGACTGAACAGTGAAAGAGAAAAAAACTCTTCTGTTCTAATCTGTCCACTTCCTTCCTGTGAAAATGATGAGACGCCCGAGCCGCTGGCCGGTCTGCAACCCACCATAATCTCTACCACAAACTTAATGAGCTTAATGCGCACTCCCAGGCCACTGAGCTTAAACTCACTGTAATGCAGTGCAGCACAGCTTGTCTCTGAATGTGCGCTCGTATTTTCTCAAGCACACATATAGTTTTGTCGCTAAACCAGTTTGAGACATTATCTGCTGTAATTGCTTGGGAACACTGTTCAATAACCCCTCTGGTGTGGTGCCAGCTATTTGTCAAAAAGAATCAAAGTGATCTGATTAAGAGACGCTGTTTTATTTGTGTCATTAAAGTCGCATTATATGTCTGATCCTGAAGTAATTGTGCAAACAGCTGACATGCACTTGAGGCTGAGGACTGCCATTTGTAAACAAGCGGCGCTGAAGCTTCTGAGAATCGAGCTCGATTTTCTGAGCTCAATTGGGGATAAACTCTGATTTAGTTCTCCAACCCACTCAGTCGCTGACTCATACACACACAATTTGGCCTCGGCTGCAAGAAAATGACCAGATCACAGGCACAGTCATGCAAGCCAGTGTTAATCAGCGTGTGTCCCTGTTTAAATCAGACAAGAATTAAAGCAAGTTTAAGATGAAGACAACAAGAATCTGTTAAAAAAAARGGAAGAAGAATGTGAAAGGCTATGTACAAAACATCCAGGAACCAAATCAAAGCCTTGGCAGCAGAAAGACCAAAAAAATGTCAGCGATTATTTCATTAACTAAAAAAATCCCACCAAAGTGACTCCGACTGACACCACAAATAGTCCCAATGGCTCTGGATTTATTTCAAATTATCCAACTAAATCTAAGGTTTCATGCTTTACAATTGACTCCATTAGTGAAACATTAGTAG